GGGACGACCTATTGGCTGCTACAAAGGTATTTCTGCCCCTTGTTCTAATTAACTTTGTTCTTTTTTGTATATGCGATTGATGCCTCGTTTATTTTGATTCAACATGTTTTGATGGTGATACCTCAACACTTTCAGTGTACAAAGAGGTTTTGATTGTCAAGACGTGGCATTCATCTACCATTTGCCATATCTGCGCTCCCTAGTGCCTTTGAGTGCAATAGTGGGTTGAAACATTTAGTTTGTTAAGTATTTTTGCAGTTGCACACAGACATGCACACTTTCCTTCGGTTCAGCTTCTAATTTCGTGATTCACGCGCACTAAGGGTTGGTTTGAAGTCGCCACTATAAACTGTCAGGTTGGGGCGGATAAATCATCTGAATGCAAATTTTGGTTGCCTTTTTTTCTCTCGAATCCCTGTTATCTTTTTTAATAAAGTCTCTGATAGATGGGGTGGTAGCGGATTAGTCTTGACCAACCATTTCGCGTAACGAGATTTGGTGTTATGTGTTTGCCCTTATCGGCTCTGGCTTCGCACGGATTAATAAACCTTGATTGCGGCGAAGATGGTAGCTATAAAATTTGAGGTTTGCGTAAACCCCAAGATCAACAGCATTAACCCATAAACGAAACCCACAATACTTTGTTGGACTTTTATCGCCTTGATTTGACGTCATTTTCCACTGCACCACAGACACCGATGCGATTTGATAGTGTGGGAGTATAGATACGTAAATAGGAGGTATAGGTGCAAGAGGTGTATTTTGCCAATTCTGTTCGTAGGGCATAGCAAAGATCGCATACAGCTAGACCTTGTCTCTCACTTCACTTTATGATCGCCTTCCAAAGCTGTGAATCAAAGGTAGAGCAAAAACGTGGTCCTTTTCCTTACAAAAACTAGGCTTGTATTTCCATTATAGGAGGTGGCCAGTGCAACAGCTAACCTTGTAAAGCACGCCAAGTCAGCAGCAGTGGCGATAAGTCAGGAAGCGACAGAGCTGGCCAACACGGAGAATGAATCCGTGGAAATGGTAATTCAACGTGACGATAAAGTGGCCTTCCTGAGGGACGCTCAGTCCCGCTTGGTTCAAGCTGCCACCCATGCTGGCAAGACCACCAGCCGTCTGGTCACCAGTGCCAAGGTTGCTGTCTGCACCATGGAACAACCGGCATCGCAACGACAGTTGCTTAGCTGCGTGAAACAGGTGAGCTTAGCGGCGATGAATGGTAATTCAAAGCTAACTTTTCTGTTTGAGGATAACTTCATCGTCTTTGTCCAGAAGAGTATCCGTTAAGTAAATTGCATTAAGTATACTGACCTCCTCCTCCTCCTCCTCCTTATTTCCGCGGAGCCTTAATGCGTTTGACTTTAGATAAAAGGTGATTTGATTCCACTGGGAGCAGCTCGATTAGTCAGATCCACCTCGTCTGCTAGATGATGTTCATTGCGTAGGCTGGTCTCTTACATATCAAAGTCGAAGAGTCTTATGAATCGTTCCCCATAGATCTTGGCAGGATTAATTACTTATTCTTTTTACGAAAAGGGAACTTCAGACACGTAAAACGTTTATTTGGCACAGTTGCCAACCTCTCTCTATATTACAGACCACAGGATCGTGATGCCTCAAAGTGCATATTACTGCATGTTGACGAATTAGTGCAGTTACGTAGGCAGGAAGCGATAAACTGTGGTAACCATCGAATATTGATGCGGACTTAGTCACATGGCTCTACTGGTGCTATAACTGGGCATGATATAACATGCCATGACAAATAACTCGCTGTACTTGTCTGGATGGCTTGAGGTTGGAAGCTTTTTCACCGTTTTTGACGAAGGATTGCGACTTACTGCTGCCTTATCCCTGTACATAAGCCGTTCACACTATGATCGAAGCAATTTCTTCCTCGTCATCGGGAACCAGTGCAACTATTTTTGATGTGGTTGGTGCTTTTGTATGTACTGGGAAGGAGATGAGTGGGTGTGGTACAGTTTGCTTCTTATAACTGCGCCTTTCACATTTGGCTGTGTTAAGAATTACCCTCTTTTTCATCTGATTATATCAAATAGGTATTGCATTACAATGCATCTTTTTTTGCTATTAAGTTATTACAAAAGCATGTGAGTACTTGGGTGATTTGAGATACAGCCTTGGGTTCCACGGTGGAAGTCCCCTTAAATTTCCGTAAATTATCTTCTAGAAGAAACAAGTGGGTTTTACGACATAGTTTCATGCCTTTATGAGTTTTATGACCCTGATTTTATGCAGTATTTCAAAAAGCGAGAACTGTTCTTTTTAACTAAATTATCTTGCATGGATGTCCCAATGCATGCCTATGTGAACAAAGCCAGTCCTAAGTATCAAAATAACCGTGTTACATGATTAACTTTACATGTTATTTCTGGATATTAGCAGGAATCGCGAAAAATTTCTTTTTTTCTATTGCAAATTAGGAAAAGTCATCACTATTTTCCTTTTAATTAATGGTTTATCTGACCGACTGATTACTGACTTGGTCGACCGAAGCCTGCTGAGATGGATCTGTAATATGATGTGTGATGTCCGGATTCATACAAATATTTACCTCCAATGCTATAAAAATGTTAAAGGTGGTGGCTCAATGACGTTCTAAACACCCACATTTCCTGCTAGATATTGAAGGGTTCGCGGCTATACTCTTATCAAATTTAGTGCCTCATGTAATCATTTCGAAAGTGGTAGACTTTTCTTTTGCAATTTTATGATATGGTGGTACTAGTTAACCCTATTTAGTGGCTGCGATTTAGCGAATTATGGATACAAAACCCAAAGCCACTTCCTTCCAATTTGAACATAAAAGTGCATGCGTGCTCACTACTCAAAGGTACATTATGCACTCTGACACTTCAATGAAGACGAAGAAACATGCAATGCTAGGGTTGAATATGCATTTCCAATGTACAGAAGGGGCTGGAGGGATAGTGGTACACCCTTGAGATCGTACCACCTTTTGGAACTACAAGGACAGGAGACTAAACACCCTAAACTAAAACGAAAAATTAAACGACTTACCTAAACACTAAAGGACGATAAAGTGCATTTGCAAGCTGTTGTGCATTCCATTTTTTTCAATGCCTTAACGCAGTCAATGAAACATTTAATCTTATGGTAAACAGAAAGCTTCTTTTTTGTCATCCACTTAGTGATTGATTGGCATATTTTCTCTCCTATTGGTTGTGTATCATCAACACGAACCGATTGATCAAGCCAGAAAATGTATTTGTTGTTGTGAACGCCCTATCTTAAATAATAAGTCAAACGTCATCTATTAATGCTTCAATTATTTCAGGTGAGTGAAGCTGTGGATCAAGTGTCTGATGTTGCCCGAAGAGTGGCGGAAAGGCCATACTTGCCAGTGGAGGCTATGGAACAACGTGCAGAACAACAAAAGGCTCTAAGCAATCTTCATCACGCCTCCAATACGGTATCGAATTCTCTGAACTCCCTAATGAATCGTCTTGCGGCTGGATCCATTCAGGTACGACTCGAGTTTGCTGTTGATGTCCTTTCTCCCAGTTTAGACTGTCACCTGTCTCGTCTACTTTAAACTAGGCTTTCTATTCAGTAGCGAAACTTTTTACCCTCAGGAATTGAGGTAGTCGCATTTGGTTAGGAAGGCGAGAAATTTGAAATTTTTTTGAGTTCTTGATCCCTTAACTGTGCAATACAGGCTAGTTTTTGAAGATTAACTGTAAATCAGTTAATGACGCCAACTCAACAGTCCTTTTATTTCATCATAGTCAGAGTGGTTCTCACTTGTTACTTCATTCTTGCTTAGATGATTAAGCGCAAGAACCGAGTTCTTCCCCCTCCTCTCCTCTATGCTCCCTCCCATGGGCTCGTCTTCATCAATTTGGAGAGATTTAAGAGAGAGAATTTCCATTGGCAGGTGGTGTACAATTTGTTAGATAAAGGGAACCTACTTTGTTCCCTCTTGACCCCTATTAGATCGTTACGTCTTACATCTATTCTGCCAATCCTTAAGGTTGACGAGTAGTTGAAAACACCAACTTGGCATAAGTAATGTGCGCTATCCATTCTCTGGGATCAAAAACTAGTTTATGTACATGATGACTTCACTCCAAGTAAACTATTGGCATCATGCAGTCGGTGGCGATCTGTGCGTTTGAAGGTTTAAAGGTCCCATTGTTTTTACTAGGCTCAACAAGATCCTGTGGTATTGAGTCTCCTTGGTGCTGGAGAACAATTGACAGCGGCACTTGGCGATGGCGAAGCTCTTTTCCAACAGGCCTCGCGTTTGGCCCAGACAGCTACCGCGCTGATAGAGGCGTTTAAAAACTCACACGAAATTCTCAGCGCTGCTGGCATCCCCGAATCGGAGGTGAACCTCCGTGCCAACCTTCTCAGCCACTTCATTACCAATCTTCTTGACTCTCTGAAGGTAGTTTTAAATTTACACAATCTTGCCTTTGTTCTCATTTTCAATCCTGAATAGGGAACGTTTAATGAGAGGAATTAATGTAGGTGTGGGGGAGGACACGCACTATAGGGTGCAAAACTTTCCTGATAATGTCGTATTGCAAGGAATGCCAATCTCATTGTCGAAATAAGGTTGGAAGTCTCTTTAAAGTCAGAGCCATTCCCTCATTTTTCGTTATACAGATGATTTTGGTTTTCCGTTAAAAAGGCCTTACACTCAACTATGGTTTTGTATAACTACCTTTTTGCACTTACTCTGGATTCTCCATGACACCTGGACAATCCTGACAGCAACAATTCGTTGATTAGACTGTTCCATTTTTGACAGAGAACAAAAGCTTCCGATCTGGATATGACGTAGTAGACAGTACTTATAAAGCTTCTCCCCAACGGTTATGATGGCTAACGAAATGTTTGTGTCACGCCCTCTTTCGGTCTTCCTGTTTTTGATTTAAATAGTTAATGCCCAACATTGGATTTTCATACTTGGTATTTTTTTTTTACACAATGACTAGTCGGCGCAACGAAGTTGTCTGACGTGCCTCTCACTGAGGACATAGTTTAAAATTTAACAGTATAACATCCTAGAAGCCAGACACAACAACGAACTTGCTAACACCACTGCCCCTTGAGCTGTCTATGGGACTTATAAGGCGTTTTCGCTGGCGCGTAAGTCGATGGATCGGGAATTAGCAAAGCCTTATATTATGATCTGGATTGGCTTAATCCAAAACCACGTGGTTAAGTGGGCTTATCCAGCCACTTTTAAAAGACCAGTTCTACCTCTTCCCACTTCTATTGTATAGTACGAAAGTTTTTAATATTTGCAAGCTTTAGGTTAGTATTACTCATCCTTGACATTTTTAGTCCCTAGAATCTGGTAACAAGCAATCGCTGCCTCATCAACAGGAGACCATTGCAGCGGCCAATCGGTTGATTGAACAAACAAACAAATTAGCCGCACCAATCATTCGTGCCCGTCTAACCACTGGCCTTGAGTTTGCCACACGTCTCACTGCCTCAAACGCCAGCCAATTGGTTGCCATAACAGAGGAGGCTACGCGTCACACGCGAAGGAGCCAGTACTGTGTAAGTTCGGTGGACCAATGGAAGTGCGACATTTATTTGGTAGGCATCTGCATGACTCCTTTAGATGAATCATCGTTAACTTTTTCCACGAGCATACCAGTGTTCTAGTGAACTTTGCTTCTAGTTCTTATGCCTCTTTTCTAATATAGTTGCAATTCGGAAAATTTGCAAAGCTAATAGCCTGAATGTTATATTAGCAGCTGACTCCGTGCCATCAGGACGTGAGTTGAATGTTATAGGGTTAGAAAATCGACAATTTAAATAAGGTCGGTTCTGCTTCACCAATTTGGAGATGAATCCATTCTATTTCAGCTACTTCAAGAATTAGACCAACTTTCGGCCGAGGTGATACCACAAGCGAATTTGACCTGTGACAGTGCACGCGCTCATCCTCACGATATTGGTGCCCAACACAGCCTTCTGGAAGCCTCAAAGAACCTTATGGATGTATGCATTTTGTAGTTGTAGTCGATGCTGTTTAACAGACCTGTGTGCGTATACTAAGCGGTGGTAGTTACCAATGTCAGATGTGCACAAATGTCGCTACTTTGCTGTGGTATCCGAACAAAACTAGTTTATTTTGTTTTTATGCCAGGTGCCCTAGCTGTGTGTCTCAGAATCTGATTAAAACAATTTTATCTGCAGGCTCGCTAAGTGTGCATAGTCAACTGGCGATGCGAAGTTTGTCGAAGTAGAGATTACAGACAACTTAATTTAAGTTGTCCGAGGATTTCGAAAAAAGGAAACATTCTTGGCACATTGGTTCATATCTTCTGGCGTTTCTTTAATATGTTGGTAAACTGACAATTTTGAAGAGACAAAACGTCATCCATTCCGTTTGAAATCTAACCACTCCAGAACCCAAGCATTGATTCTAGATGCATTCGTTGTTCTCGAACACTTTTTTGCCTTAAAAGCACTTATTTATTATACTTCAGCCCTACTACTCATCCATTCAAGCTTCCCCATTTAATTCTCTTCCCTTTGTTTTGATTTTTTCCTATTTTACAGATTTTAGTTGCCACGGCATGCACCATTAGTCTTAATGGGACGTTTGTAGCAGAAATGGACTTTATCGAGAGTTACGACCTCACTAAATTGCATGAATGTTTCCATCGCTCACATTTTATGGGCCACAGTGAAATCCAATCCATCCTTAGGAATATTGTGGGGATTTTTCCGAGTTCGCGAAATTTGGGACATCAATAAGCGCATGATGTTGTGGGTTGCATTCCAAGCCAGAGTTTGGCAGAATATTTAGGCTGTCGGAGCTTTTATTTGAAGCTGTTTCGCAAAGTAATGGCTCCATCCAAATGTTATTAGTTTAGCTGTACCAGGAGGGCGCATAAAGCACCGCCATTTGGAGGATTTCAGATTGTTTCTCGCGATTAAAGGTGGAGTAGTCATCGTTCTTCCATGTCATTTTTGAGGTGGAACATGGATATGAACGTGTTCTAATCTGTTTACTTCCTTTTAATCTAGTGTTTAAAAGATTTTGTCGCTTCCGTGGACGTTTTTGCACCCACCATCACTGACTCAGGAATTCAGGTGGCTTTGACCAACGCTGCGAGAAATACGGAGGCCTGTTTGGTTGATCTGCGCCAGTGTTGTGCTACTGCAGTCCCTGTGTTGCAGTCACCTCTTCCCACTCTCACGGACCTCGAAGAGACTGTAAACGCTTCCATTTTAGCGCGTCGCGGTTCCCAGGCGCCTGCGGTTGTGAAGCGCCAAGCCTGGCCGTCCATTTCCACGCGGCTGGGACGTATGCAGGAGGAGTTAGACTCAAACTCAGATCATAGTCTGCCTGGACAAACGGTTTGTAATGTTCAAGAACATAGACCTTTGCTGTAATTATTCATTCTTTCAAACGGTCATCCTTTAATACAGATGGATTCAGTATGTGGTGACCTGTTAGCTGCCATAAACAAGTTCAGGGACGCTTCCGCGTCTGGTTCAAGTCTCCCCGACCTTCTGGCTAGAGAGGCGGAAACGATAGCTAATGGCTCAACCTTTGCTGGAGTAGGATCTGATAGACTGCCACCAATCACAGCAAAGTTACTTAACTCCCTCGAATCTGTTATCAGTGGTATTCGCGGTTTGGCGGGCTTCTTAAGTTCCATCAAGGATTCAACGCTTGTTGATCCAGGTGTGCCTTTCAAAGTGGTTTGTGGTAATATTGTTTGGCTTTCTCGATCCATTCTCCTTCGCTTTTGCTCACATCTTTATGCCTAGAGGTGCGTCTGTCATAAACCTTGTAGATTTGGAAAAAGTCTTGATATCCTCGTGGACTCAACTGCCTGAGTCCCAAAGGAGTAAAACAGACCGACGTTTTGTACGTTCACCTAGTCAGGAATTGTCCGCCCAGCTAGCAGCTGAAGGTCTACGAACCACCCTTTTGAACAGAGGTCTCCAGTGCATTGAAAAAGCACACGCCAGCCTCCTCTGGGCCGTTCACGAAGACAATACTTTTGATGTTGCCAAACAGGCTGTTGCAGTTTGCGCCTCTGAGGTGATTACTTTTATAACTTTTTTGGGAAGATTCTACTGGCAATTCGAGAAATTAAATCTTTGAGTTGATTTATGCATTCCCTGTTACAGCTGCAATCAGCTATCGACGAGGTTCGGCACTACGTGCCAGGCGCCCAATCTGCGTCAAGACTTGGCTCTTTGGTTGCTGCGTTACCTGAAACGGTTCACCAAATCAATGGTCAGGTCACGCATCCATCCACTACTGCAGTTCAAGAAACTGATGATCCCAACATCCTCATAAAGGCCCTCAAGGAACTCATCGAGGTGTGTTTATGTCTCTGAGCTTTCTCGCTTGAAGTTAAGTCTCATGTGAAATAAGAAAATGGCATTGCAACCACAAGGTATGTAAATTGTACCAGAACTTCACAGTACCTTTTCATACATTGTTTCTTCTTTACAAACATCAAGGCTTTTATGAACCTCATTAGTTCATTGTCAGTTACCTTGGAATGGCTTGATAATGGG